CGAACATGAGCCTCTAATACAGAATATTCACCTATCACAAGTCTGTCTAGGAAAAATGCGAATAAAAGGATAAAGATAGATGGGAGAGATCAAGGCTGCGAACGCGCTGCAGCTACCTCGATACTCCTGGATACTGCTGCTCAACTAAACAAATCCTCACTCACCCTGTGGTGTACCTGGATCTGCACACAAGGTGCAGGGAGTATTGTGAGTACTTCCAACCCAGAAAGTAATAAATATAAATAAAGTCTGAGGATAAGAAATCCTAAATAAACACAAGGTAAAGCTATAAATACAGCAAAACAACGAAGACAATTATAATAATACCACAACAGATAAAGAATAAATGACAATTAAAATATGCAATGCAACACATAAACCGGTACTCTCCAGTACCCCGCTGCGGCGTGCAGCCCGCTCCATTTATTTAATGTCGACGACGCTCACTGGGGGTGTGCAGACTCCGGGAGGGGCCCCTTACGGCCCAAGCGCAATAATAAGCCATCTCGTGGCATCAAACAGGCCATTGGCCTCATATCAATATCATTATTGTACCACTGCGGCGTGCAGTCCGATCCCATACTCAGTCCAAAATCACATAAGCCTTTCGGCACAATAATATAAAAATATTCAGCCCAAACTTCATTTAAAAATATTACTTTAGTTTCTACTTTTAGAAAAATGGCCGAGTTTACAAAAACAGTGTTAAATACCAAGGACTGAGTTCAATATCTAGAAATATGGTAAGAAACAAGTAAAATAATCTCTGAAGGATTCAAGTAGTTGGCACGAAGCCCAATTATGGCAATTAATCCATTTTTATAAGGATATCACAAAACTACAATCAATTAGGTAGTAATTTTATTAAGCGGGACGGACCAAGTCACAATCCCCGACGGTGCTCTACCCCACGCCCGTTATCCGGCGTGCAAGTTACCGCACATAGCACTACGATGTGCAAATTCGGGGTTTCAAACCTCAACACAACATTTACATCTATTACTAACCTCAAGCTGGCCAAAGTCCTAGCTTGCTATGTCTTTGCCTTTCGAATTAACCTCCTCGTGCGTCGAATCTGACCAAAACCACAACGAATACATCACAATATGCTAATGGGACAATACCCAAACGAAAACAATCGAAAAATAGTAAAATTCCCGAAATTAGCAAAAACCCGAGCCCCGAGCCCTCTTCTCGAAAATAAGTAAATTTACCGTCAACGGATTCCTTATCTCGCCACGAGTCTATACATATAAAGAACACCAAAATCGGAGTCCAAATGACCCCTCAAATTCCCATTTTTTGCTCTATTAGGTTTCAAGCCCTAACCTCCATTTTTGACCTTTAATTCCTCTATTTTTCAGTCTAAATTCATGTATTTGCATGATAAAATCATGTTCTAAGTTCAAGGATACTTACCTGATCGAAGTCCTTGAATTCCCTCTTCAAAATCGCTCAAGAACACCCCAAGTCCGAAGTTAAAATATGTGTTCTGTAAAATTTCGCGAAGGAATTAAAACCATCTTCTGAGCAGTTGTTTTCGCTTCTGCGGTAAATTGTCGCTTCTGCGACTTCCGCATCCGCGGTCCACGCCCGCTTTTGCGGACCTTCACTTAAGGGCCTTGACCGCTTCTGCGGCCCAAATTTTGCACCAGTGGGTCCGCCTATGCGGTCCTAACTTCTGCTTCTGTGGAACCTGACATGGACCAACTTTTCCGCTTCTGCGCCTTCCTGCTCGCTTCTGCGAGACCGCATCTGCGGTCCCATAACCGCAGGTGCGAAAACACCAGATACCAGCAAAGTTAAACATGCCACAACTCCAAAACTCTCCGTTCAATCACCCGAACTCACCCCGAGGTCCCCGGGGCCCCAACCAAAAATACAAACATGATCCAATACCTTATTCGAACTTGCTCCAATCACCAAAACACCACGATTAACACTAAAATCATCCAATTACATCAAATTCAAGCCTAAGTTTTCTCAAAACATCCGAAATGCACTTTCGATCAAAAACCCAACCAAAACACCTCCGAATGACCTAAAATTTTGCACACACATCCCAAATCACCTAATGAGGTTACTGCAACTCTCGGAATTCCATTCCGACCCCCGGATCAAAATTCACCTATCGACCGAAATTCGCCAAAATTCTAACTTTGCCAATTCAAGCCTAATTCTACTCCGGACCTCCAAAATCACGTTTGATCACACTCCTAAGTCACAAATCATCCCCCGAAGCTAATCGAATCATCGGAATTCATATCCGAGCCCTCTAACACAAAGGTCAACGTTCGGTTGACTTTTCCAACTTAAGCCTTCTTAAAAGAGACTAAGTGTCTCATTTCTTATCAAAACCATTCCAAACCAACTCTAACACATCAAATACTGAAAATGAAACATGAAGAAGCATAAAATGGGGGAAACAGGGCTGTAACACACGTGACAACGGGTTGGGTCGTCACATCCTCCCCAACTTAAACAAATGCTCGTCCTCGAGCGAGTCAAGGAACATACCTGATGCCTCAAATAGGCGGGGGTATCTACTCCGCATCTCCCGCTCGGTCTCCCAGGTAGCCTCCTCCATGGGCCGACCTCTCCACTGCACTTTCACCGAAGCAACATCTTTTGATCTCAACTTCCAAACCTGACGATCCAAAATGGCTGCTGGCTCTACCTCATAAGACAAGTCACCCTCCAGCTGAATTGTACTGAAATCTAGAACATGGGACGGGTCCCCAATGTACTTCCGGAGCATAGACACATGAAAAACTGGATGGACCCCCAACAAGCTAGGTGGCAAGGCAAGCGCATAAGCCACCTCCCCGATCCTCCTAAGTACCTCAAAAGGTCCAATGAACCGCGGACTCAACTTCCCTTTCTTCCCAAATCTCATAACACCCTTTGTGGGTGAAACCTTCAGCAAGACCTTCTCACCAATCATAAAAGACACATCTCGAACCTTCCTGTCTGCATAACTCTTCTGTCTCGATTGAGCTGTACGGAGTCTCTCCTGAATCACCTTCACCTTCTCCAATGCATCCTGAACCAAATCTGTCACCAGCAATCTAGCCTCACCGGGTTCGAACCAACCAACTGGAGATCTACACCGCCTCCCATATAAGGCCTCATACGGTGTCATCTAAATGCTGGACTGATAGCTATTGTTGTAGGCAAACTCTGCAAGCGGTAGAAACCGATCCCATGACCCTCCAAAATCAATAACACAGGCACGTAACATATCCTCCAATATCTGAATGGTGCGCTCGGACTGCCCGTCCGTCTGAGGGTGAAAAGCTGTGCTCAACTGCACCTGAGTACCCAACTCTCGCTGAACAACCTGCCAAAACTGAGAGGTAAACTGAGTGCCCCGATCTGATATGATGGAAACTGGGACACCATGCAATCGAACTATCTCCCGAATATAAATCTCTGCCAGCCGCTCTGAAGAATAAGTAGTACAAATCGGAATGAAGTGCGCGGACTTGGTCAGCCCGTCCACAATCACCCAAATAGCATCAAATTTCTCCAGAGTCCGTGGAAGTCCGGTAACAAAATCCATAGTGATCCTCTCCCACTTCCACTCAGGAATAACCATCTGCTGATGTAAGCCACCCGGTCTCTGATGCTCATATTTCACTTGCTGACAATTAAGACACCGGGCTACATACTCCACAATATCTCTCTTCATCCTCTGCCACCAATAGTGCTGCCTAAGATCCTGATACATCTTCGCGACACCCGGATGAATGGAATACCGCGAGCTATGGGCCTCCTCCAATATCAACTCCCGAAGCCCATCCACGTTGGGCACGCAAATCCGGCCCTGCGTCCTCAACACACCATCATCTCCAATGGTCACATCCCTTGCATCATCATGCTGAACCCTGTCCTTAAGGACAAGCAAATGCGGATCCTCATACTGACACTCCTTAATACGGTCATACAAGGAAGACCGAGAGACCACACAAGCCAACACTCGACTGGGCTCCGAAATATCTGGCCTCACAAATCGGTTGGCCAAGGCCTTAACATCAACTGCAAATGGCCTCTCCTCAACTGGAATTTATGCCAAGCTCCCCATACTCACCGACTTCCGGCTCAACGCGTCGGCCACTACATTAGCCTTCCCCGGATGATACAGAATAGTAATGTCATAATCCTTAAGTAACTCTAACCATCTATATATATATCTATATATATATATATATATATATATATATATATATATATATATATATATATATATATATATAGTATTTTATCACCTTGCTTGCTGCCTCATCCATGAAATTTCCTTTTCGTCTTGCATGTAATGTTGCTAATCACACTTAAGAATATGGAGGAAGATCTTAACGTGTAATTCTTGGAGAGAAAGAACCTCATTTATTTGGGCTTTCAATTTTTATATGTGCTTGGCTAGTTTTGGTAAGTCTATGATTAATGGCTAGAGGTTGTTAGGGTGAGACTTATTTGAGACATTTCTGTAAGATTCCCTAAAAAAAAATGTAGCCATGTGATCAGGAGGTCACGGTCGAGCCATGAAAATAACCTCTTGCAGAAATAGAGGGTAAGAATGCACACAGTAAACCTTTGTGATCCGACCCTTCCTCGGACCCCGCACATAGAGAGAGTTTAATCCATCAGGTTGCCCGAGTTTTGACCAAATTTCTTACACATTTGGTCCAACAAAAAAATGATGGATTTTAAAAAGTACTAGAGTAATAAGTTTTTATTTAAAAAGTGATACGTCCAGAGGAGTTCAAGTATTAAATTGCCAAGTCTAGAGTATAAATTTGAATTTAAATGCGTATTGAATAAATGGAGCCAAGTTCATGATATTGTTTTTGTCAAAACAAAGTACTAGGAGTGTATATATTAAAGTTTTAAATTCTTAAAAACTAGCAATGCAACGTGCGTCGCAGTACGTGTTAATCATATTCATTTGCGAATCCCATTAAACTAATCATTCATTCGTAGTATTTCGTACAAACGGTCGGATCGCCAACTATACACATCTATCTCTCTTTCACCACCCCAACTTGTCTCCCATTTCTTGAATCTTTATATCCAAATTTATTCTTTCATTGATGTGGTTAATATCTCAGAAATGGCAATCGCAGCCGCCATTATTCTTCCTATTGGTCTTCTCTTCCTTTTATCTGGCCTCATTGTCAACTTCATTCAGGTACCCCCATTTTATCCATATTATTGTAACCATTTTTTTTTTGGATGTAATAAGTTTTTGGATTAGATCCCACGTTGCTTTTTTCATTTTTGTGTTGTTTTATGCATGTTATGGCTTCTAAATTCTTGATTTACTTAAAGACTTGCCCCTTTCATGTCCACATTGTTCAATGGATTTTTGTTATGACCGTGGTGTCCGGGGCAGCTTGCGCCTACCTCGACTATTCCACCGCGTACCTGCGACCTTCCACTAGCAGTGGTACAGGATAACTCTGCCCACCAAGGCTTAGACAGATAGGAAGAATCACCTAGTGATTTTGGTTCCCGCTGAGATTTGAATTTGAGACTTTATGGTTGTCATTGTTCAATGTTATGATTAGTTGCTCATTTTTGTCAAAAATATTAGTAGTTACTATCTGTATATATAATTATAACTTTTTCTTTGGTTATTTGACAACCTGTTTCTTAGAGTTTTGTTTAAATTTATTTAAGTTTGCAAAGTGGCTTTGCAGCTTGCTATGCTATTTATGTAGTTTCCAGAAAATCAGTGAACCAACAAATGTAATTAACTAAAAATATAGGCGTATACTTATGAAGAGAATCCTTGATATCGCGGGCTATAGCATGTGAAAATGTAATTTGGTGACGATACATCTTTCATCCATTACAATCTTCAACTTGTTTTTATTTTCAGGCACTTCTTTTCATTCTAGTTCGACCCTGTTCGAAAAACATATACAGAAGAATCAATAAAGAAGTTACAGAATTGTTATGGTTGGAACTCATATGGCTTTTCGACTGGTGGGCAAATGTTAAGGTGTTTGAAGACTATTAGTACTAAATATGATTGTTTACTTATATGCATTTCTAACTATTCACATTTTGTGCTAGATGTCATAACTACATAAATGTGATAAAATATTTTCCACATCTGAAGTAACATATCCAACTCCTGCTTTCTTTAATAGCTCAAGAAAAATGTGACACAATCTTTTCCATTAGATAAAAACGACTATATGCTGGTCTGTTGTAGGAAGAAAAGGAGAAGTTCATCCCATTTCTCTAAGTACTTTTCCGTGACTTGGACCATGCATGTGGCAGCAGGCGCTGTGCCTTTTTATTTATGCATGTGGAATACAAAAATTAAGTTAGTTTTGTTGAAGAAGAATTTCTTGATTAGGCGAGGAAAAGGTTGCGTTAGAAACATTCCATCATACTGATTTCTATTGTGTTTTAAGACTAACTATGTGCGTATTTTGTGCTTCCTGCTAGGTTGAACTATACACAGATCAAGAAACTTTTGGGTTGATGGGTAAGAAAACTCTGTCAGTTTTGTTACCTGAATTCTTTTGCGAGATAAGGTTGTCTAAATCTTCTTTTTTCATGTGTAAGCTTTATTGATAGTAACCGATTTCAGGAAAAGAGCATGCACTAGTAATCTCCAACCATAGAAGTGACATTGACTGGCTTGTTGGATGGGTTATAGCTCAGGTGCTTGTCTACTTCAACTTAAAATTTTCTCTTTCTTGAAGCATCCATTTATAAGAAAACCTTGAAATGTCATTTTCTCTCTTTGCCTTAGAAAACTTTGAATATCCCCATAGTTATTTGACTAAGAACTGAAGAAGGTCCAGGTTGGCGGCATAGTAGATTGATGGAAGAGGTTTCTTTAGGTATCTAAATGCCTACTTCTGATAGTTTGCTTAAAAAATGTTGGGATACATCTTGGGGAATTAATGAAATGATGTCAACTTATAAAAAAGAATGTTATAAAATGATGATCTTTGCCTAAGCATATAGACGTTAACAGAGACCCTAACTCAGAACCATTTTAAAGATAAGATATTCCACTTTCTGTTGAGAAGAATAAATGGTTCTATTTTCTTTTCGCTCTCACTCGTTTTTTTAATAATGTGGCAAGGATTGCTTATTAGGAAACATAGTATCATATTCATATCATTCTTCTGCGTTGCTTGCTTCTCGGACAATGTGGTGGGATGATTACTCATGCTGTTGTCATTGCTCAAGAACAAAACGTTACTCTTTTAGAATAGTGTGCCTATAGAAGAAAAATTAATAAAACAAAATAGTAAAGCCGGAGAACTTTGATGGATGTAGTAAATGATTATTTAGTAGATTGGGAAAATGGGTTTTCGATCTAAGCATTGGTACCATCTAAGCGAGCAACTCAAACATCGTATGGATTTTATGTTTTTTGTATATAATTGTAGCACTAAAGCAGAATTGCAGAAGGATCTGCTTTTTGAAATTTTCCTTTATGGTTATTTACAGAGAGTTGGTTGCCTCGGTAGCACAATTGCGTTGGCAAAGAAATCAATATCATATCTTCCTGTAAGTTTCTGACACCTTCAGAATTATTCACTATGTTATGTTCTCTGGTGCTAGTTGTTGTTAAGTTGGATTTTGCAACTGAATGCAAGTTATATTTTGTGTTAATTTAAAGTTTATAGTGTTCGGTTAAAGAGTGCGCATCAGATATTGCTTTACAAAGACACATTAATATTAGACCATTTTTCGCCATTTTTCAAACATTTAATTTCAGTAAGTGTAGCTGTCAAATTTTTAGTTTTAAGTGTATGATATCAAAGGGACATATCTGGGCCAAACTTTTAACTGATCTCTAGTAAAATGACCTCGTGAGTTGATATAAAATCAACTCTTCGTTGTGCTACAGCATTAGGGGAAAATGCTACTAGGTGGCTGACGAGCGCGTTAACCTATCTTCATAAGCTCAATGGTAAATGAAATATTTACTTTTCAGGTTTTGGGATGGTCAATGTGGTTTTCTGGTTATATCAGTCTCGAGAGAAGCTGGGCCAAGGATGAAAACACCTTGAAGGTACTATTATCGAACCTTTATCAGTTCGGACTGTAATCTTCTACATATGTTTGTTGCATTTATTTCTTCTCTCGGTCTTCCACTGCAGTCAGGATTCCAACAGCTAAATGATTTCCACCAACCTTTTTGGTTGGCTGTTTTTGTAGAAGGGACTCGCTTTACGCACGCAAAGCTTTTAGCAGCCCAAGAATATGCTACTTCTGCAGGATTACCTATCCCAAGGAATGTTTTGATTCCTCGAACCAAGGTGATGTAATCTTTTGTAACATCTTTCTGATTTGGATTTGGTGACATTAACATTTTCTCATCCTAGATTGAAACTTCAGAGGAATGATTCGTAACACTGACAACATGTACTTTTTTTTATATGTATGATCAAAGAGAAATTTTCCATAGATATTCATCTGCTCGCATTCTCTTCCTCAGGGTTTTGTTGCAGCAGTAAGCCATTTGCGTTCCTTTGTTCCAGCAATCTATAATATAACATTTGCAATTCCTAAAGATAAGCCTCGACCGACATTGCTAAGAATGCTTAGAGGATGTTCTTCTGTGGTAAGCTAATACCTACATACTTCTTTACTTTCCGAACCTGATATTTTTACTATACACGTTAATGTACACTATATTCTATTGAGAAAAAAGATTTCTACACTATGTCACTATATGCTTGTGACTGCAAATATGCACAGTACGTGCAGCGATCTGCACATTTTGCAGCTAATTTACTAATTAGTTTGAAATTGCTCCTCTCATCAGTAATTTTTGAGCCTAGATTGATTAGAATGGCTTATATTGTCCACTTACCTTGCTGTGTCTCTCTTCACTAACATTCCCTCTTTTCATGTTCAATGTTCCTTGTTCGCAATAGAGGCAAACTGGTGCTTGAATAAAACTGAGGCTGCAGTTATGCTGTTGTTTCTGACTAATAATTCTATACATTGCAGTTTGTGGATATGTGACTGAGTTTCTCCTCATGAAGATTTTGACATTTGTTTCCTTGTAGGTCCACGTGCGTGTTGAACGCCGTTTGATGCATGAATTACCAGAAGATGAGAGTGGCATTGCACAATGGTGCAAAGATGTTTTTGTTGTAAAGGTAGAATATCGATACAATGAGGCCTAGTTTATTGATTGTAGAATCTGATACAAACAAGATAAACTTTCTACAGAAAACAATGTCAAGCTAATCTATGTAAATTGTATAGCATGTAAATTAGTCAAAAAGTACTTAGCTTTCACTTAAAAGGGAGCAGCCCGATGCATTAAGCTCCCGCTATGCGCGGTTTCCGGGGAAGGACCGGACCACAAGGGTCTATCGTATGCAGCCTTACCCTGCATTTCTGCAAGAGGCTGTTTCTACGGCTCGAACCCGTGATCTCCTGGTCAGATGACAGCAGCAACTTTACTAGTTACGCCAAGGCTCTCCTTATTAGCTTTCACTTACTCATGTTAATTATTATATACCCATTGATGCTCTTTTTCACTGGCGATAGGATACTTTGTTGGAACGACATCTTGTTACGGGTACATTTGGTGATCAAGAATGTCAAGATATCGGAAGACCGAAAAAGTCCTTATTGGTGAGGAAAGAGCAAAAATTTTAAAATAGCCACAGCTTGTCACTTCCATTCTGTTCATCTGTTTAACAACAACTACATTATCTTGTTGATATGCAGGTTGTTATCTGTTGGTCATGTTTCCTTTTCTTCAGCGCCATAAAATTTTTCGAATGGTGTCCATTCTCTTGGGGAGGAGTTGTATTCTGTGCAGTTTTCTTGGTCTTCGTCCTAGTCTTGATGCAGATTCTCATTGTCTTTTCTAAGTCAGAAAAATCTATTGCTCCTAAAGTACCTCCGCGAAATACATTGGAGGAAAATCTACTACCAGCATGATAATATGATGAAATTTAAGATGGTTTAACTGGTTTATATAGGGGTAATTTGATCATACAAATTAGAGAGGAGGACTAAGAAGGGCTGGAATTTTTACAAGAAATTTTTGAAGATCAAGATTCATTGATTCTTTGGTGGCACTAACTTTCTCATTTTTTTCTTTTGATTTGCTGTTCATGATTTGGCTTATGAAATATCAGCAATATGTTTAGGTTAAATTTAGTAGTTTATAAAATTATCCAAATGTATCTTACTTCGGAAACAACCCGTCTATCTCTACAAGGTAGGAGTAAGGTCTGCGTACACGCTACCTTCCCGGATCCCACTAGCTATATTGTTGTTGTTGTTGTTGTTATATGTGAAAAGTTGATACAATTGTTGTATAATTTATTTGACAGAAAAATATAAGCTGAAGCTGGGATACCACTGCTATATTATAAAGTTTTACATATTTTCAGTAACCAAATGGCTAGTGCTTAATATTGCTTTTGTAGGAAGAAGATTGTAAAAAAATTCTTCTTTTCTTTATGATTAATCCTATTTTAAATGTGTTTTAATAATTCTACACATATAGCTGGAACTGTGCAAGTGTTCATGCATGAGGTGCCGTGAAAGGTTGTAGACTTTGAGGAATTTGGGGAAAAAATCAGAAATAGCATATTCACAATTGGTAATTGAAAAATAGCCAAACTTTCAAAAGTAATCGAAATTTAGCCATTTTTTCATGTAAAAATAAACTCTAAACAAAAACACCCTTAAAAATCCGGAAATTCCAGCATAATATGTTGGAGTTCGGATCTTTTTGCATATTAGATTCTAGCATAATGTGCTGTAGTTCCAACATAATATGCTGTAAGTTTATACGCAGGAGCTCCATAATCCCGCATATTATGCTGGAACACTCCGTGTGCTGGAGTTCCAACATAATATGCTGGAAGTTTATATGTAGGAACTCCATAATCCTGCATATTATGCTGGAACTTTCGTGTGTTGGAGTTCCAACATAATATGCTGGAAGTTTATACGTAGGAGCTCCATAATCTTGCATATTATGCTGGAACTTTTCGTGTTTCAGCAAAACAATGGCTATTTTTCAATGATTTTGCAAACACTGGCTATTTTTCGATTACCAATCCGAAAAATAGCTAGCCCGTGCTATTTTCACACGAAGTTCATAGTTTGGGCCTTTAAGTAAACCTTGCACTTCACTTTTGAGGGAACACCAAAAAGAAAAGGGCAAAGATCACTTTTAACTCACTGCTGAAACTATTTACATCCAGTAACCGCAAAAGTGTATAATTTAGATTTTTTTATATAATATACTATACAAAATATATACATTTTTCGGCTATGATTTTAAGAGCGGCTACACACTCGTCATTTCCCAAAAGAAATCCTATAATTAACTTAATGAAGAGAAAAAAGTAGCCTCCTACTCAAATCCATCACATACATCAATTATAGCTACAAAAAGTAACAAAAGTTTGACAAGAAACAACTTTACCATCAAGTATTGCAACAAAGAAATTTCAAAATCATATGAAGGTAGTTTCAAGAGACGCGAGGAACGTAGACGAATAATCAACGATCGTGATGATAGAGATTCCAGCACGTGTGAAAGTTGTGGTGACAGATATAGCGGATATAGAGGTGGTGACGAGGAAGATAATAATAATAATGGTGGTGTCAGAGACAGTAGCTTACGAACACGAGGCGGTGGTAATGGTGACGGCGAAGATGGAGGTGGTGTATTGGGTGTTAGGGGCAACGACGGAGACATGCTGGTAGAAATGCGAGCTTCTACAACAAATAGGAGATTTACTGCTATTGAAAATGCTAGTTGAAGGCAAAAGCTGACCATATTTTTGAAGTGATTGTGAGGATAAAATGCTACTATAGTACATATTTATATAGTGATATATCCTCTCAAGAAGTTAGGCAAATAATACTAAGCTATTATTATACATTGTTTAGAGATACCAAAAAAAGACAGTCCGATGCACTAACCTCCCGATTTATGTGAAGTGCAAAAAATGTCGAATTACATTGCACGCAACCTTAGCCTGTGTCGTCAAGAAGCTGGTTAAATCACACTGATGATAGTAAAAAATACTTCACAAAATATCAAAGGACAAGAAATTAGTAGAATAATTTGTAGTTTATGAGTAGCACTTCAATTTGTATTGTACATGTTCAGGGCTTATATTGTGTTAAGGAAAGGTGCCAAAAGCAACTAAAGGTAATGACATTATAAGATTTTTTTCTCTTGACTTTTATCTTTCTATATTGGACAGTCTTAAATTAATACTGTCCAAATTGAATCATTGAATATTTCATAGAGTATAATACTTCAGGTTTTTGGATGGCATATATTTAAAAATGCGTACGATAAAGGAGAAAAATGCGATATTCAGTTGAGGTTTACACTTGCTTAACCAATTTTTGGACAATAAAATTGCCCCATAAAATATATCTAGACATTTAATTTTTTTATTGCGGATAACTGTCATAATTAACAATAAAATGCAGTACTTTACATTTTGGATGTTGAATTATATTGGTGGGTAAAATTTTAATGGTTTATTTGATACCAAAAAGAATGTTACATCTCATGTTCTAGTCAGATGTGTCTTTTGAGGGGCTTTTCACGTAAATGTCCAAAAAACAGGACATTTCATATGTTATTCAAATAAATGAACAACAAAGTATTAAGTCTTGTTAGTGAAAATCTAGGTGGAAAAAGAGGGAGAAATTAAGTCCCTTTATTTAAGTCGCAACAAATGGTAAATAAATACGCTACAAAAAAGAGGTGCGAAGAAAATGAGCTGAATTTGAGACAAAGGGAGAAATTAAGAGCCCGTTTGGACATATAAAATTTTTCCTTTTTTTTAAAATTTTTTTTTTTGAAAATAATGTTTAGTTATCCCATTCTTACCAATTTTTCCTTTTTCACTTGAAAATTCCTTTTCAAATTTGAAAAAGTGGTTCTCACCACTTTTTCAATTGAAAATGGGAATTTGTTAGTTTTTAGTTTTATCAATTTACCCTATATTTTTAAAATTTATAAAATGACCCCATTAGTTTTTCATCTTTGGCAGATACATCTTTGGCGACTGATGGTGGAACATCAGTCCTCGCTGATTTTGCATCTTCTGTGTATTGCAGTAAAGCATATTATGATAACAGTTAAACAATAGCATTTTGATTGTTTATTTCAAGTAGGATAATCAAATTGGGGTGGTTTTGATATTTTTACAAGTTGTGGGGTATAAATCATGTTTCATGATTTTGAAAAAAAAGACATCCAAATATAGTGCAAAAATTATAACCAAACACAACTTCATCTTCAATTCAAATTTTAGTGAAATTTCAAATTTAAAAAAAAAATAAATTGAAATTCATGTCCAAACGCCTACTAAGTCCCCTTATATAGTCTTCTCATCAAGTATTGGTACAATACTTTAGTGAAGAGTTCTCATATTTTTCAAATAAAATTTATATATTTAGCAATGATCATGTCCAACTATGTTTTATAAAAAGGACTAAGCAGTCGTTGCAAATATAATCTGGTTTATAAGTCCGGAGTCGAATCCCACAGAGAACTAAGGCTTAACTACAGTTGTTCAATATCACTAAGAAACAAAAGTCTAAAAAATTGCCTAATTATAAATATTATAATGTTTATTTCTATCTAATTAATTAACAAATCTAAAAAGCAGTAAAACTATCAATTAACAAGGATAATGATTATAGACAAGATTACAGAGGTCTAGAGTTATGATTTTTCCAATTGTCGGAATCCTTCCCGCTGTGTCTTCTATAATTTCGCCTAAGTATTATCTACCGATCATGAGTACTTCGGATGTTGTAATTCTCTTCCGAGCAACTACCACAATTTACTAGATGTATTCTTCCGAATTACGCTAGCTGGCACTAGTGCACCGCTCACTAAGATCGCATCAAGACTTCATTATTCCTAATCCCACCTTTAAATCCTGTGTATTTATCCCTCACATACGTTGGGAGTGATGTTGTTCAACAACTACCTGAATATATACCCTTTTCCAAGCAATACACACTAAATAGGCACAGTCAGTTGATGGTCATTCAATCAACAGCAACAAACACGTAGTTGAACAAGTAGAGAAATCCAACGGCTCAATTATATAAAAACATAAAAAGGAATTCAACCTGCAAAAGGTTCCATCAAAACCCTAGATAAAAAAAATTAGATATTCGTAATAGTATGCGAAACTACAATACTAGAATTCATAACTAATAATGAAAATAGAGGAAGAAAGAGGGAAAAACCTGAAGTTGAATCCTTCTCCTTCTTGCTCCTAGCATGTTCTTGCCTCCCTAAAGTCTTCTCTCCTTCCAAAGTAGTGTCTCCCTCTTCAAAATCACGTTTTAGGATGTATTTATAGTGACTAAGGTTTGTATGGGGCGGATTTTCCTTCTCCTATTTCGGATAGGAGAAGCTGGTTTTTTCTACTCCGGTCCCGGTCTGGCGAAGTGAACCTCGCTTCGCTATCCGGGACTTTTCTCTTCAGATCTTTTTCACCAATTTTTCTCTCATTTGATCCTTTTTCGCGCATGTTTATTCATACACATAAGAACACGTAATGAGCATATTTTCACTTCAAAAATCATGTGATCTCCCATAACTCACATAAGAAATAATATATAAACATACTAAAAAATATGCATTTTTCGTCATTTATCAAGCAACAACATAAAAATACTATAAGTCACAATAAGTAACAATTCAAAATATTTAAAAGATATAAAAAATTGCAGTCAAAGAAAAACTCCTTCAACTTTTCCAAAAGTAACTGCATCATATAAATTGGAACGGAGTATAAAATTAGTTTGTTAAACGTGTCAGGACAGTATAACCATTTTCTATACCTTGTTGTTTACTGTATATCTATGAAGAACTTGCAAGGACGGCTTCAGAAGTTAAAAAGGAACACTCATTAATATTTAATACCTTAAGAAAATTTCTTATTAATTTTTTTATATTTAAAAATAGTTCAGCCAAATTTCTAAGTTGTAGAAGGACGTGATTTGCTTACGTAGAATTCTTGAAACCTAAAATATGTCAAACCAATTATATATTTTTGTTATAAAATAAAGACTATAAAGTAAATAAATCGAAGACAAGTATGGGAGAGATTGAAATTTTTATTATAATGAACTGAAATCTCTTCTATTTATAGAAGAAATGAAGTTGTTGTGTAAGCTGCTACTGCAAGCTGCTGTGTAAACTGCTTGTAAGCTGTTGTTGTACCAGATATAGATAATCTTCTACCAGGGGTAATATTTATCTATAACGGAGTACCAAAGTGATAAGCTTAGAAGAAAGGAAGCTGCTGTGTAAGCTGCTACTGTGTAAGCTGCTTGCAAGCTATTATTGTACCAGATATAGATAATTTTCTATCGAG